GGCGAGATTACCTTTCGATCAATACATGTTATTGTTTTAAAGATGTGCTAGACGAGGCTGACACTTGTAAACAATACAACGTGAATAAGCATCGCGGGCAGGATTTCAAGAATCGCGGGCGAAACAAAAGCGACGCGGCTGTTGGTCTAAGCGACGCGGACCCGCAGTGCTTGAAAGGCCTGGGGAGAACACTGAATTGAGTTTTTACATTATGTCTAATAATTGTTGGAGATACCCTTGTTGTGTTCATTATTGATGGCCTAATTCTAAATATACTAACAAATCCACATAGATTTGATTTAGATTTAGACATGTTAATGTTACAATGTGATTGTTTTTCAGGGTTTTGACGAGTACATGAATTTGGTGCTTGACGATGCTGAAGAATATCACATGAAATCAAAAACAAGGAAAACACTAGGTAGGTTTATAATTATTGAAACACTATTTTAGGTTTATGTATGTGTCTAATCACCTGTGTATAAATCCAGGGTTTGTGTTGTTTGCATTTGCCATTATTTTAAGGAATGAACGCTTGTATGAAGCAGCTACAATTACCATATTTCCCCAATCATAAGCCCCTCTCTATTTTTTGACATTTAACAATTAGAGGCTCATGGTGTTTTTACCAGAAGACAACATTTATTGAAATTATGCGAGTAAAAAGTGTTTCTTTGCATAGAAATCTTGATTGGTATGTTAGTTTTGCTTTTACCGTATTTATCCGGGTATAAGCCCAGGATCCTGAACATGGAAAATTGCCAAAAAATAGGGGTGGCCGTTTGCCAGGAGATCCCCGGCAAAAAAAACGAAAATTCGCGAAAATTGACAACAGGCAGATCGAACTACGGCAGGGAATAGAACGGCAAATGAAAACATGCAACGGAAATAAATGAACAATATGCAACGCTAGAAGTAAAACAAAATTAATGTATTGCTTATAATGTGACAAATAAACCAGAAATAATAAAAATCGACAGTGAGGAATCATTTGAATTAGGATTTTCCCGCCGACAAACACACCCAATACGCGTGAACTCAAAATTAATTAAATTTTCAGGGGTTAAACTGCGTAAAATGATTTCCGGTCTCGACAAATTACGAATAATTTACAAATTTACACAGTAAAAATTATAAAAATTTATAGCTGTTTGAAAAAACTTCTCAGATCTTTATTTGTACGTTCATTGCCATCTTCGTCAAACTCAAAACTCTCAAAGTCCAAGTCGGCGTCACTGTAGCCGTTGAACAAAATTCCTACAACTTTTCCTGAAGTTCGTCGATATCTTCCCACACAATTTGTACTTAGCACTTTCAATCCACGGATTTCGCAGTCTGTCAGATTGGCACTTTTCATTCATGGTTAATCACGATAAAGAGACAAGAAAAATTGGGTCGCTCTGCTGCGATGGCACACGATGCTTTTGTTTACTGTCTGGCAATCATCTTTGACCATTATGCATCTGCTTTACTGATTGAAAATGTCTGCTCAGTCAGCTGTGATTGTGGGAAATACTTCTTGGACGAGTATGGTTTTGCAGAGAATTGACGGCTGCTGCCGTTTTATCCGGTTCGGTTGCCTCGGTAAAAAATGAAGTACAAATGACTACACTGCCTTATTGCCATATGCTGGATCGCAATTGCATAGGTGATCAAGGTTGAAAATAGTGAAATGTGTGTCGGCATCTTCAGCAGGGAGTCTTTGTTCGAGATGGCGAATCAGTATGTTGATATACGTTACTTTAACATGGTTGTTGATGAAATTGTCATCGTCAGTCGTTTTTTTAATGGCAATGTTGGTGACCTTCAGTTCTGCAATAATTTCCGGTAGCTGCTGGAAATACTGGCCATCATTGGATTTCAAATTCTGTATGTAATTGTAGACTTCATAAGCAGTTGAATCGAATTATGTTTGAACTGCCGAGCCTGTAACAATTTGCATAGACCGGAAATGTGTGGTAAAATATGTCACAGCAATAACATCGTAGCAATGAAGCGGAAAGATGAAATTAGATGAATTAATCCTGGAGCCTTTGCTCCTCTGAGCTTCGCACCCTTCTCTTTCTAGACCGACTGGTACGCTTTCCCTCAATCACAGTACAGAGCATCGTGTTGATGAAATTTAAAAAAACGGGTTTTGGTTTCTTCTTGGATTGGGTGGAGACCAGCCGTACGCATGGCACTGTAATTGTAGAAATTATAGCATTGACAGGGGATGCTGTTAAATTTGTTAACACAAGGAATAACATTCGTGGACTGTGTCGATGCCAACTGCAAACAATGACTACAACAGTGGATTCCAATAGCTGATGGAGTGAAACCTTGTAGACTCTTCAGTCATAATTGCTGCGCCATCAGTGTCAATACCACACAATTTGCTGACTTCGAGTTGACTGTTAGTGAAGTATGATGTTATGTGTCCCATAATATTCTCCGCATTCAAAGAGGCCGTCGCGACTTCGCCGTTGTTTGATTTCATCTGTTCAATAAGCTTCAGAAAACGAACACACAAAGTGCAGGTATTTTCAATAAATCGGCAATTCAATGCGAGTTGCTCGCTGACACTCACATCTGTGGTTTCATCACAAAATAGCGAAAAAGTCTAATTTCTTCATCTGCGATCTTTAGAGTTGTTCAGAAATTAAATTTAGCATTTCTTGAAATGTTTAGGTAGTCAATCCAATTTGAATTAAGACTTCCTCGATCAGCGAATATATACTCTTTATCTCACGAGAGTGGTGATGCTCTGAGCTGATTTTGATTTCATTTTATACTCTTATGGCATGAATTTAACTTAATATTTTGACTGAATCAGTCAACCGCCGCATCCGTGTATAAAATATATGCTGCTAATCATACATTTAGCACGTCGTTGGCTTTGATTACCACGGTGTTTACCGGCAAAGATGAAACAGTGATCGTCTGAAAGTTTTTTCCAGCATACAATGTGTTAATTTTGACCTATTTCGTTTAATTACTTGTACATCATCCATGCAGAGAAACTGTGTCTAGTGTTTACAAAATCTAGCGCCTGACCAGCAGGACACTTGTTTGTCACTGTGTAATTATAATAACAAAGGGACAATAGTTCTGGTCAGTAATACTGTTTATGAGTACTGGGCCGGTAAAGGCCCAGGTCATTTCAAGGTCACTCAATTATTGCTGCTGGAAATCACTGTTATTCATAACACAGATACCTGGGATGGTTGTGCCATTATTTTCTATACATGTAACATGTACATCCTCTCTTGATATCTGTAGGAAATTCCTGATCTGTTACAATTTCTTTCAATTACTAATGAATTTCTTAATTATTTTCTTGCAGGTCGAGTAATGTTGAAGGGTGATAATATAACATTAATACAAAATGTACAGCAAGATGAATGAACATCAGACTTCATTATTTACCAAAGAGACAATCAGTGTTGTTCAGTTCTGGTCTGATAAGAATTGGGGGGGGGGGGGTGTTGTCTTACACTATTTTATTGTTTGTGTATGTTGGCCCGTTATTACAAAAGAAGATGATCGGTTGGGGGGGGGGGGGCGCTTTCAAATTATTTTAACCAATGTGTAGAATCCCACTATCTACAAAGATGAGAAATTTATATAGCAGGCCATGCTTTAGATACTTTTATATTTGTTGTTTCAGTTTGTTACTTGACAACATTTTACTAAAATGGTAAAATAGTTGTACTCATATTGAGTATCAAAGTTTGACAGATTTCTTTAAATTGATGATGTATGAAGGGAAACTGATTGCACATGTACATTGACTTTTGGCAGTTGTATTATGTTTTAATGTGAATCACTAAGTTATTAATACAAGTCACTAAGAATCCTTGCTTGTACCATGTTTATACATTCAGTCTAACAGTAAAAAGCTTGCAAGTCTTGTTTAGTTTCTCAGTCGGCTATTGTTAGGTTTTTGGAGGAACTAGCTATGAACTAACAAACAAAATGGTGGATTTGATGACATACTCTGACATATTAGTCAATCAACTCACAGCCCTGAACTGACAAGTGGAAACCGGTTGTACATGTGTTTTAGCAATGTGATCTTTTGACATTAATTTGGATGGGAAAAACTGCACGACTTTTTTAAAAACAGGAAATTATCTATTTGGCTTTTATTTTCTGTAATTTTTGTTATATACTTATGTTCTGTACATCCTCAAAGATATTAAAGACTTTTTCCATTACATATGTTTGTTTTTATCTTTTACAAACTTATAATCCTTCCATTTATTGGACCATGAACTATATATTTTTGAAGGTGAGTGGATGAAGAGTTATAGGTGAGTGGGCGCTTGAAGCCTAAAATTAATATATGCACTGATAACATTTCATAGCTCTACCATAAGTTATAGGCATAATTCTAATAGAGAACAATTGCAGATAGGCATGCGACCAATATTTCAGGCATTGCACAAGAAGTATGACTAACATGCTACAATGATATGCCGTCGGTGCTGTGTTGAAATCATAGCTAACCTATCACAAGCTGCTTGTGTAAATTGAACTATCAAAACTTATTATCTAATACAATGTTGTGGATATTGCCGGTGTGCATTTGATTCATTGAAATAATGTGTACATAATTCTAGCTGGCTGACTGCATTTGAGGAATATTGCGTGTGTAATTCTAGCATGTTGCATGCAAGTAATCATTTTGGCAGGATGTGCATGTAGATGACATGGATCGTTACGAAGGCACTGCACGGAAGAAACTAGGTTCAGCTCTCTTGTAAAAATCAGTTTGTGTGATGTTATGTAAGCAGAAAAATCTGGAATGCAGGTTAGTAATTGTTGCACGGCTCAATTGTACTTAATTAACCCTTTGACACGTTGAAATGATAAAGTATAAGCTTAACAGAACAGAACATTTTTGCCAGTCATGCAGGCACTATATACTAATCATTAAACGTCCTCTAGAAAATAATACAGATTCTACGGTTTATAGAAGGTAATTCTGAACTTTTAAGATACATGGTCATCGAAGGAGACAGCCATTTTAAGTGATTACTAAAACGTGTTTTTTATGTAGCCAACCTTTCAAAAACTATAATACGGTAACAACAGTTACAAGATTTTTTAATCAACCAACTGGAAGTACATTTTAAAAA